ATAGGACTATTTCTGTGTGTGTCCCTCACACTGATAGAATGTATTTCACGAAACATCTCTTGGATAGTTTACATGGCATGCCTTATTTTCCCAGTTGGTCCAAGGGTCTGCTACCTAATGAAGAGAACACACAAAAGGTAAAAATGATCTTTATCCGTTTCCCTCATCATAGATATTCCATTTTAGGGTACTGATACTGGTTTTGTTGCCAATTATCCCCTTTGTGGGATTGTAAAAGTCTGCAGAATTTTTTATATATTAATATTTATTTTAATTGCAGCCTACTTTCTTTGTAAAGTAATAAACATATACAGAAAAAAATTATTTAGAGTACCATTATATTGCCTGTGTAATGGACTAATTACAATATTCCTGATGATTTTTGTAATCTGTTTATGAAAAGACGAAACAAAAGAAACGTTATTTCAATGGAATTATAGTTTCCAGCCCATATCATCTCTTGCAAACTGATATCAGCCAAGGTAAACCCTAGCTACATCCAGAAACCTGTTAAACAGCCTTTCATATGTGTAGTTAGTTGTACTACATATTGGCTTGATAAGGGTTTTAGCTAACGCACTGTAAAAAATTATTCCTTTTGACTTCAACGCTAATTTACCATTACTGCTGCTACACTGCCCATCAAAGTTAACTTATTGAATGGTAGGCGTTTAGGGCACATCCATACGGCACACGAGTCATTCATACAGCAAGTTAAAAGTTACAAGACACATCGTCATTTGTTATACATATGAAAAAGTTGATTTGGTTTTCCTTTCTGTCCTTAATAAAATAGATGATGGTTTGTATAGGTTAATAAAGCTCCCACTTCAAAATGCCAGCTTCTATGTCACCGATGCTTCTATTCCAACCCCAGACTTCTACTGTCTGCCAATCTCAGAATTGTTGAAAGTACGTATTCCCAAAACAGATATCCAAGCTCAAATGAATATAGGCAGACAAAAATCTTTGTTAAAAGGACAGTCCAGATTACAGATTGCTCATTCCTCATTCATTATATAAATTGTATTAAAAATATGCAAAAACAATACAATCATACAAAATATATTGATTTGTTTCTACATTTGTTGCAAATCTCAAGGTAATGCACGGTCATAATGCATGGTACCCAATTTGTATATTTCATTTATTTCATCATTTACAGAAAGATAGGAAGGAAAAACTATTTAAGAGATTATACATTATTGTCCCCCTTATTTTGCAATGTTTCAGACAGTGTCTAAAGCAGAATATATTTTTTGACTTTTCACCTACTTAAATATTATCTAATAACTTATAAATAACACTTAAATCAGACATTTATCAAGGTTCATTTGGCAACATTGCTTCTGTTAGATTTGATGCTAAATAAACTAGTAGCTTCTGTTAATATGGCCTGCAAACTTCTAGGATTCAAATCATTGTAGTCAGTAACCAGAAACTCCACAGATTTAAAACTTTTATGTCAGCCCCCACCTTGCTGTGCAAAGTATTGATTCAACGTATCTCCATGAGAAGATGCTGATTGGCCAGGAAGGTGTATGGCTGCGCCCCGCAGTTACCTCCTTGTCTTAGCTTATCAGAATTGACAATATCAGCCAATCCAGTGCTTTACTATGGGAAAGCATTGTGATTGATTATGATCATAACTTCTGATGATGTCAGCCAAGAAGGCAGATCAGAGGCAGAGTCATCTTCAGCAGACCTGAATAGTGGTAAGATTGTAGTATTAAGGAGGGCAAGGGGAGGCCAGGGGGTCTAGACAGTGTATTTAATACTATAGGGTCAGGAATACATGTTTGTGTTCCTCACTAAAATTTATTCTTGGGCAAATCTAACTTGATTTCAGTTTTTTCAACAAATCTCATTCTGTACCATCTATTGTCTGCTTTAAAATAGGTAATTCTCATATGCAATTGTTACATAACATATAGGACTTGCATATTTATAAAACACCAGTTTATAACCGGATTCACTCTGAACAAATCTGGTAGAAGGCAAATTGACAAAATGGACTAATTGTTTTTTTAAGGTGAACTTTCAGAAATCTGCTATATTTGCTGACTGGCTGAGCAATCATTAGCATGCAAAAAGTTAGAATAAATTATTCATAAATTAGTATGAGTTTAATAAGTAATGTAAATAAATGAATAATACACTATACATGTAATAACCTAAACATAGACTTTAATTATATTGAACTCCTTTCTGGCATTAACTCTCTCTCCCATGAAGATAGTAATCAAACCGGTGCTAATGATAGATTTTTGTAATGACAGCATTTTTTTATAACTGACAACTGTCTGCCTAAATAATTGTAAAAGTTCATTTGTACAAATTTGAAAGCAGATAGTTGTCAATTCTGTCAACATGTCAGCGTATTGAGTGTTTGGTTATATATTTCCATCTTCTGGAATTTTTTTCCCTCTCTTTATGTTCTAATATCCTCTGTTTATTTTTGTCCTAATGTATTTGCCTAGGGCCTCCCTATGACAGTGGTTTCCAAACCAGTCCTCCAGGCACACCGGATTTATGGATTACCCAGTTGTGTCAAGGTGTTTTTTTTTCTTTCTAAAATCCCTAAACCCTGGACTGGTAAGCGTGCCTTGAAGACTGGTTTGGAAACCACTACCCTAAGATCAAAGAGTGATCCAGGTGTGGACCCCTTTGACGTTGTGTCTAGAGGGATATCAAATACAGCTCACTGATAAGGTCCAAAAAAAAGCAACAATCATTTGAGGTTGCTATAACTCTTGTGCATAGGTATCTGATCTGAACTGCCCTTACCTGTGGATATGGTCTGTTATAAAAAAAATAATTATAGGTTCTCTATGTTGAGGGACATATGAGCAAAGACTTATTTAAGACATGAGTGGGGACTAACTGAAAGGCAAGATTCTTTGCTTTTGTCTGCTCTCGGTGTTCTTAGATCTTGCTTGTTTGCTTTGCTTCGGCCTATACTTGCCAATCTTCAGGTTATGTCCTACAAAACAACTAGTTTATTTTTCTATAATAAGATAAATAAACATAATGAAATCAAGATAAAATATGTAGATTCATATATTTGAAATGTTTATTTAAAAAAATTTAAATATTCTTTCCTTAGAGTTTATTTCCTATAGAGGGAATTGTAGACAACTGAAAAACAAAATTTTAAATTAAGGTTAAGGCATTTGAGCAGGATTCTATAATTTATCTTTTGTCACAACTATATTTTGTTTTTCTACTCATTATAATTCACAATTGAATTGCTAAAATAAAATAAAAATAGTGGTTAAGAGAAGCAAAAAAATCTTACTTTCTATTGCTAATTATTAATATGCTTCAAACTTAAAAGAAAGACTTGTATTGTATTTGTATGATGAATGATATATTTATTTTTTTTATCTCGAACAGGAAATGGATTAATTTGCCGTTTTTGAGCTGTTTGTTTTACGTGTACAATAAAACATTTTGTAGTTAGTGTTTTACAAAGCTAGATGCCTCCATAAGAGTTTGTCCTGTGGCCTGGTGCCTGCTAAGTCAGGTGAAGGCAATTGTTGCAGATATTGGAGCCTACTATTTGATCTTACCCTCAAACCTACTGATATTCCACATTAACAATAGATGTATTCAGGGTTTGATAAGAGGATAGTCTTATTTATAGAAGCATCTTTAATAAGGTTGCATTTCTGGATCTGAATGAATAGTGAATGGGATATAGCAAACCTTTTACAAAACATTTTCAACAACTAGATGACTGACCAAACATTGAAAAACATTAAGTCTAAACTGGAAATTATAGGTAAATTCACAAGAAATTTGCACTTTTTAGCCTTCTGCAGCGGAAGTGGAAGTAGCTGAGTTATTGAAATTTCTCGGTTCAATTATTTTGACCTACAAATGTAAAGTCCTATGTCAATAATTTCTGTTCTATTCTTGCAAATCATGTAATAACCGATATTGGGGCATTATTCTTGATAACCACAGTCTGACCTAACATACTAAGTGTTCTATTGTCCCAAGACCACTCTCCCACAGGGGTGACTAATATAGCTCATACACTTACATTTTCAATACAGGAAACTCTATTATACCATTTAAAGGAACGCTATAGACACCCAGACCACTTCATCTCATGAAGTGGTCTGGATGCAGTGTCCCCTCCCCTTAACCCTGCAAAGTCAAACATTTCAGTTTTAGAGAAACTGCAATGTTTTTATTCCAAGGTTAAGACTGGCTCTAGTGGCTGTCTTCCAGATCACCACTTGAGGTGTATGTGCCGTTTCATGGAGTTTAACAGGACATCCAGCATCTTTTGAATCTCCAGAAGAAAGCATTGATTCAATCCTTTCCTGTGGAGAAAGCCTAATGCATGCGTGGTACTAACTGCACATGCTCCTTAGGTACCCCCTCGCATTAACGTCATCGTATGTAAAGACGGAGTATTCAGTAATTCTGAAGAACATATAATTGACATTCATTCACCATTGTATGGAGCAGGTAATACTAGTGGGTGAAGGAGGTAATAATGGAATATGGAGGGAAGAAATTGACACGTTCAAGAGAGGAAGAAGAGAAAGTAAGCCAGGGGTGAGGACAGGTATTGGAATAATGAGAAAGAGAGGGTGAAACTGGTGAAGGAGCAATAGTGACAGTGGAATGGGCAGGAAGGAAAATAGTGGGAAGAAGAGATACAGAAGTGGTGACAGAGAGGGATTTTTTTGCCTGAAATCTTAACTTTAATAGGTTTGATCTTGGGGATCTATTGAGTGTCATTGAGACTTAATCTGAGTGGTCAAAAGGTGGAATCTTGCAGGTAAGAGCATTTCGGAGATTAATCTACAACAAAGGTTGCCTACCCCGGTAAAGACTATTCTCTTTTCTATACAAGTTAAATTATCAGGATTAGTGATGTCCCGAACGGTTCGCCGAATGGTTCGCGAACAGTTCGCCACAAACTGTTCTCCACGGACTCATCATTGAGTAAACTTTGACCCTGTACCTCACAGTCAGCAGACACATTCCAGCCAATCAGCAGCAGACCCTCCCTCCCAGACCCTCCCACCTCCTGGACAGCTCACTAAGAATGCAGCTTCAAAATGGATGCTGTCCAGGAGGTGGGAGGGTCTGGGAGGGAGGGTCTGCTGCTGATTGGGATTATTGCCCCCTCCCCCCACCGCAGCATTGTATATATAATGGTTAAAACAAAAGTATTAGTAAAACAAACGTGAAGAATAATAGATGCAATTCTATCTCTGCTAAATAGCTGCTTAGACTAAAAGGAACACTATAGTGCCATTTAGATCCCCCTTAGCCTCATTAAAAAGGTGAATTTACTCACTTTTTCCAGTGCCACTTGGGTCTCCTCATTGCTGGCTCTGCCCTCTTGGCTGAGATCATCAATCTTGATGAGTTAAGCCAATCCAATACTTTCCTACAGGAAAGCATTAGGAGGCTAATGCGCACACGTAACAAAATGCTGTGCTTCACCAATCAGCATCTCTTCAAAAGAGATGCATTGAATTAATGCATCTCTATGAGGAATGTTTTGCGTCTCCATGCAGAGCACATTTTGCTGCACTGACCCAAGCAGCACCTCTAGTGGCCATCTTAGTGACTGCCACTAGAGGTGTTCCTAGGCAGCAATTTTTACATTAAAAGACCTAAAACAACTACATTAAGCTGTAGTTGGTCTGGTGACTATAGTGTCTGTGGCAAACCTAGCAACTTCTGGACACATTAATTTTGTTTTCTTTCTGTTATGGTTGAGACTAAGAGCATTCATATGCTAGTGGCATGAAACCGCAAGCATTCATATGCTAGTTTCATGAACAGTATTGGAATCTACTTTTCATGAAACGAATCAAACTACCGAATGGGAGACCACACAAAGGAGATAATTTGATAAACAGTACATTCTTGCGCAATTATCTCTCCTGTACAGCAATGTATGATGGGAAATAGTCTTGCAGGCTAAGTTCCCCACACAGTCCACTCGAGTAAAATCCCTGCAATGCCAGTCTGGAAAGCCCTTGCATGAGGACTTGTATAAATATGGTGACTGTGGAATAAAGGCTCAGTTGATTCCCAAACTATGTGTTGTCTAGTTCTTGGGAATAAGGGATTATTACTACGCTACCTGTATTTGGATGCTGTATCCTGACTACCAGTGGAGATATCATGGATTAACCTACTACTCCTCTACAGTGTCCCTTTACGTTAAGGCTAATGCATGGGCAGCGTAGGGCTAAAAATAAACAAGGAAATCTGAAGCATAAAGAAACCCTACTCTGTCCATCCCTGTAAATACACGCTCTGTTCGTCATCCCTAAATGGTGGTAACTAGCTCCATAAAATACCTTATAGCTCTGTCAGTGCACACACAAAGCCCCTACATACCCAACTCACACTCAAAACCTTCCCAAGAGTAGGTCAAAAAAAGGAAGAAAAGCGGGGGTAACAAAAAAAAATCACATCTCCAAATACACCCAAAAGTAATTAAATGTGAAAAAAGAGGACAAACAAGTATTCCTGACGTACTTTTGATGCCAACAGTACTCTTTTTGCACTCCTTTTTACAATTCGAATGTCAGTAGACCACCAACAATCCTAAATATGCCATGTATAGATCCTACAATTTCAAAGCACAACAAAGTTCAGGCTTTTAGCTATTGCTAGAGATCATGCTGTATTTAAAATACATATCATGGAAAGAGCATTTCACAATGTTGACATACCTCAAACATAAAGAGCTTGTTTTAACTTTGGCTAACAAATGTCCTTAAAATATTAGCAGGCAGAACTGGCAGAAAGCCACTAAGATTTCAGAAAAAAGCGCCAGCAAGTCTTATAATATTGTCACTTCCTTCGTGTGGTAATAAAATCCTGACCCTGTGTTTAATTCTGTTTGTAAAGGTGAGAGTGGGGATCTTATCTCCTACATAAATAAAGATTATAATCTTCATTCACAATAAACCACTGAGAAATAATTATTATTTTTGATAGTACTGTTTATTTTATGGATCTCGAGCTAAGTCTGCAGTTTTACTGAATGGAAGAAAAAAATCTATAAAAAAGAAAGGAGATGATAGTGGTAACACAATGTGCTGACAGAAAGCTAACAAATATAGTGTATATATGAGAAATAAAAAGATAAAAATAGTTTAAAAATATAATACTTTTTTTTTGCACACTTGATCTGTGAATTTAATTGCGAAAAATATTACCTATAAGTAGACTGAAAAATATATAGATAATATTTTATGTGTATATTTTGCAGTACACTGATTGGTCCATCTTTACACCCTTTTATTTTGTTTGTTTTGGTTTCCCATTCAGTTTTGTCGTACCGAAATGATGCTGAGCCCAACCAACATTAAGCTGAAATTCAGGTGTCCAAACAATGTTCTGTATTTGGGAAAAATTGTTCTCACCATTGAAGTCTAGCCATTACTTTGCAAATACACAAGACATTGCAACAATAACAAACAGCAGAGGTTTATTACTAAAATAAAAGGCAGACAAGTGGGCTTAACATTTATTTTGAATTACATTCCAAAGTTAACCAAACATTGGTTCCTGTATATCTACTATTTAGAGTTTAGAGGTTAACTTAAAAGCTTTGATTTTCTGATAACATCAGAGGAGTAGCATTCCGGAGGAACAGAGCTACAAAATATTGGTGCCAGTATGACATTAGGAAGTCCGTATTAGTACAATAATATGTAATGAAACAGAAAAAAATGGGAAAACATAAGTTAGCTTTTCTTTTCTTTTTTTGCCACGTGTTCTGTTTTGTTTTATTTTAATAGTACACCTTTTTGAATATGGTCACATCCATAATCAGAATTACTTACGTAGTTAGTTATAAAAGTTAGTTAAATAGCAAACCAATAATGTTCCTTTATTTTAATTTATTTTTTTGCTCTTTACATGTTACTATTAATGCTTCTATTGTGTTCTTTGTTGTTTGACTTTCTTTCATTGAATATCTTCTGAAATATATTCATCTGACTAAAAGAAAAAAATACATACAAACTAAGTTTCAATTGTGATTTTTACGCCAAAACAAAAATGTTAATTTAATTGACATTAGAATAAAAATAAACCTATCCTGAAACAACTAAAGAATAAACAGTTATTTCAAGCGCAATGCGATTACACTTCAAGCTCCGATTAAATAATCTTGTCATGCGATATTTCTATAATAAAAAAAATCTCCTACTTCTATTTGTACAGTGTGCATCCCTATTAGAGCTATAGAGGCAAACAGTGACCTAATCTTTCGCTGACTTTCCAAGCTTTTTGATCTTCAGACTTAACGAAACCTGCTGAGAGCCTGCTACACAAATAACCTCATTGGAGAGCCAGCTCTTCAATGTCTATGTTTCCACCATTCATAATTGATTAGAATGATAAAAGCAATAACCCTTGCCGTATTTTCATTCTTGGAAGATTTCTGCTAATTCTCTACTATGCAATTATTAGATTTATACACCTATTTAGTACCATGTAACTATGGGAAGTGATACTCATATTTCACATGTACACCTTAAAATGTTAATGTGGACATAACTTCTCAAAGCAAAAGCATTTCGCATCGTTAGATAGCTTGGGTAGTGACTGTTTTTAAATAATTGAATATTAATATTTCTTACTGAAAAATGTTGGAGAACCTTAATGCTCAATTAAAATATTCTGCAGTCATAGTCATTATCAATTATGAAAATAACAGGATCTATCTGTACCTTATTACCCGGATATGTTTATTCAACATTTTGCGTGAGTCAGAAAGAATGTAGACTCCACTCTTGGCTAAGATGGTTTGTATGTACTTTTACAATATATATTACCATATATAAGAATGTATTTTTATTAAAATAAAACCAAAATACTTTGGTATGCTGTTTTAATGAAGCGGCTAAGATGTTGTGACACTTTTTCATGTTCATTCTGCTTCGTGAGGCATCTAATTATAAATGTGGATTGAGACAAATGGCTCTATTTAAACCTAAACTAAACTGGCAAGGGTTAACATGGTTTTGTATGCCAAGCAAAGCTTTGGAGTGTAATAATTTAAATAATGTATGGAATTCTATAGGGTCTGTTCTCTAAACAGAATGGTGTGATGAGTCGTGATGAGAGGATTGTCAGGAGTTCTGTCTTGACATTTGACAAGTGCAGCAGCAGTTTATTAACCAACTGAGCTATCTCACTGGTCTATATATTGGTAGGATATACTATACTCATGGCTTCCATAGGAATTCTTGGAACTACTCACAAAGTCATTGGAAGCTCCCCCCCCCCAAACACCAGTCGAAACATGATGAAGGGTGTAACAAGACTGCTGTTTATTGAGACCACACAGGCTTTTATGGAGGTCCCCCTACAGGAGGACCTCCCACAGTACACAAAACAAATAGCCAATCATAAGGTACAGTTACACTTAAACACTCCCTGTCTCCGCCTGTGAGATAATGAGATAAGTTAAGGAATAACCCAATTATCTCCAGGCGAAGTGCACACATTTTCCCCAAAACTTAGAACACCCCTTCATGCTTAAGGTATCCCCGCAAATGTCACATCCCCTGATAGTCCCTATCTGGGAGAACAACATATTCAAATTTCACCCAGATCGGTTCACGGTTTTTTTAAATGTGTGGAAGTCTTAAGTTATCGACCGCACACGAAGCTCTTGCCCAAAATCGTTCCACAAATTCAGCGTGTGTGGTGGGTCAATTCTGAAACTGTCAAATAACTCCATAATCCACGAACGGAGCCTCCTGGCTCATAGGAGCGATTGTTCCCCTCATACGAATACATCAAAGTACCGAAAAGCGCTCTCCTAGCTGTTCAGGAAATACAGTTCCATCGTTCGTATGTTTGAGACTGGTGTTCGGGAAGTCGAGTGTCTGATTTTAGTTCCAGACACTCGATGAGCAAGTCCTGCTGCCTTTGTCTCGAACAAACAAGATGGCTGCCGTTTTCTCCGCCACGTGGCATTCGTATATACGAGCGCTTAATTAACGGGCTCCTTTGAAGTCAATGAGCCAGGAGGGTGGTCGGTGTTCGGTAGTTTCAATCTACCGAGCCAATGTGTCATAAACTAACCGAATAAACTAAACAGATGAATGTTCTGAGAAAACCCGAACTCCCGGTGGGTTTTC